TTGTTGTAATATTATGCATTTTTGTGTCAATAATTGTATTGGCAATGTGGCGTCTTTCTGCACACATACAACTATTTTTTTAACAAAATGTAAACAAACATCAGATTTTAGCAGCTGTAGGATTTATTTTGTTTTTTGTTTTTGGCTTATGTGCCACACAAATAGTCTTCAACAATGGGCTCAGCATGAGTTGTGAAATTAATATTAGGTTTATAATAAAAACCAGTTTGTAATTTCACTACAATGTGTAAAGTTTAGAAAAGGAACTTTTCATAAAAATATACTGAATCCACTTTTGAGAAGGTTGCAGTTTTGATATTCTTGCTGGAAGAGTGCTAGTTTGTRTCAGAGCTAMTACAGCTAGCTGCTGCTGTTAAAGCTTTTTATTAACAGATACCCATTAAACTGTAAGTTTTTAAACTGAAGGTGATATAGAGGTTTATAAAACATAATCTGCATGAAGTGCTATGAAAACTTTGGACATCAGAGTYACTTTAAGACAGCAACAATTCATTCTGATCTTGACTCTGCTCTAACGTGTCACAGTCAGCAGGAAAATTTGAACCTAAATTAAAAACATATGTATTTACAAAGATGAAACAAAACGCCGACAAGGCAGCAAACACTTAAACTGAAGCATGACTATCAAGGTGGACCAGACTTAAGGCAAGAAAATCAATACAATGAACCACTGAGGTGTTGGAAGAACTCTGACAGAGTTAGACTGATGAACTGATTGGAGGTAGCTGATCGGAGACTAGGAACAGGTGTGAGTGTCAGGCTGACGAGGCTGATTGAGGGTAAATGAGAAAAAGCACAGGGAACGCTTTGAACTAACTGTAGTTTTTCATCGGGCACTGGCCCACGTTAGAGTTAGAAGAAACGAGGAGGCAGATAAAATGGCAAAAAGGCAGTTCAAAAAGATATTTCACAGTTTACTCATGTAAATTTGAAGCAAGCATCATCATCAAAGAATGCCTGAAAAAAGAATGAAAGATGTTGGAGATAACAAAGGAAGGTGGTTTTATAGAATCCAAAGGGTAGTAGGAAAAATGAAAGGGTACAAGTAGAAAGGATTAATGTAATGATCCACTTTTTATAACACAAAAACAACAGAGAAAACTGACCACAGTGGGCAGAAGGAAACATTTGAGCATGCTGAACTGGAATGTCAGAAATATGAACAGAAGAGAATATTTATGAGGACAGAAATGTTTAATATAATAGACACACTACATAAGATCTTAGGGAGCAAAAGTATACAAATCAAAATTCAATAAAACAAACCTAAATTATTTTTTTACCATTATTTAACCAGGCAAATTCCATTGAGATCACTGATCTCTTTTGCGAGGGAGGCCTGGGTCTGAAGGCAACCTATCGTACATGTTTTTGGGTGGGGGAAACCGGAGTACCTGGAGAAAACCCACACAAGCACAAGAAGAACATGCAAACTCCACAGACCCCAAGTCCAAACCAGGGATCGAACCATATCAGTAGGTGGGGGTGATGGACACCTTCAGTTTTTTGTCAACTGCAGTTTAACTCCACAACAAGAAGAACAATGATTAAAACAAGGGTTACACAAGAATACCAAAGTAAATCTAACAAGAAGGTATTATAAGATTGTTTTTCTTATTTCTGCTTCATTTCATTAATGACTTGTGTCTTTTAAGGTACAAAATTCACAAATAAATAACAATCCAAACTGGAAAGCACAACAGAACTCAAAACACAAGAAACAAAGAATGAATAGAACACATGAACTGATCAGGTAAAAACAAAATGTCCAGAAAACACAAAGCCAAAYACGAAAACTGAGAAATATGATCTAAAACACAAAGGACCAAATAAACCAACTCGCTGTTAGCTTGTTGCTTGTCAGACTCTAAAGACTGATTCTCAGAACTAAAGCTGTTCAGTGCTGTTTACTACAYGTAAGATATTTATTGTTCTCAATCTTTCCACAGAATCCAAATTCAAGAACTCTGAACAGGACAAAGAAGATGGATGTTTTTTATGAGACACTTTGAAATGTAAAATACTGCTGTACTGAGAGGTAAACAGCTTCTGATTTTATATTTACTGTATGGTTGGATACATCATCTAGTCAAAAATTGCCAAATATTTCATTGCGGCAACCCCTGAAGAAGGGAGCAGCCAAAGAAAAAACAAAAGACAAAAAAAAACACCACCTGCTTGTGATTTATTTTTTCCAGGATGTATCTGACGCCAATTAAAGATGAAGACGCAGAATCTGAGAGAAAAGCAAAGTCCCGTCATGCCAGACAAACTCGCCGGTCAACACAGGTACAGCTCAGACGGTTCACAGGCTCAGGCTTTAATTGACTGCGTTTGACTTGTTGACAGACGCGAAGCTGTGTGGAAATCCTGCAGGGTGTGACTCTGACAGACCTGAGAGAGGCTCAGAGGACCTACAGCCTGGCTCATCAAGACAGAGAGAAAGAGGAAGGAGGTGCAGTCGGAGACAGGCCCTGTCAGACGAGAGGCTTTGCAGATGACAGTGAAGCAGAGGATGACCTGACAGGATCCACAGGAACAGCTGGGATTTCTCTGAAGTGGAGCAAAGAGGATGAGGTGAAAAAAATGTATTCATTGCCAAAAATTGGGTTTTCTGCAGCAGAAAGAACTGCTTTTTGTACAAAATTCTATATATTCCGAAATATTCTCACTCTTGTGTGCAGGAGGGGAACATTGAGAGCAGGTTAGATACCTTTACCAGATCTCCTGACCTGTCTTATTTATCCCTGTCTGAATCCTGTGATCTACTTCGACAAAACTTTTTCAAAGGTAAAACATTYACATTTAAATTGGTTTAAATTCACTCTGCTTTCATATTGTTTGCAATCCCAACAACAATGCCATGAAGATTGACATGATGATTTTATCATGTGGCGCATTATGAAGTGCAAAATACAACAACGGAGACYCCRGACTGTTGAGCAAGTTGTTCATCAAGCAGTAATAGGAAAKAATTCCACCTTCAACAATTAGTGTCCTCAGATCCTAAATGTTTAGAGTGTTAATAAAAGGAAAGGTGATGTAACACTGTGGTAAACATGACCCTGTCCCAGCTTCTTTGGAATATGTTGCAGGCATCAAATTTAAAATGAGTGAATATTTGAAAAAAACTATTAAGTTTATCCATTTGAACTTCAAATATTTTGTTTTTGTGCTGTATTTAATGGAATATAGATTGAAAGGGATTTGCAAATTATTGTATTTATTTATGTTTTACACAACGTCCCAACTTCRTTTGATTCTGTGAATATTGCCTCTGCCCTTTTGTGATTCTAACTTTTGTTTCAGGTTTACAAAAACAGTCTGAAATGCTAATAAACTTCCAAAACAAATGGTAAATAACGAAATGAAAAATTGCTAATGCATGACTTATGTAAGTGTTTAAAGTTGGTTTGTTTAAGGTGCAACAAACCAAAAGTGTAAGTTCTAAACTCTGATACAAAATGGTAATAAATAAATAAATAAATAAATAAAGTTAAAAATACACCTTAAGATCACAAATATTAAAAAGTTGTATCTGTCATGACTTGTGAACATCTAAGCTATCAGCATTGTTTTGATGTCCATATAGGCCTATAGATGCTCATTTGAGTACAGATTGTGTCAAACTTGATAATACTTTCAAGACATCTGCAGATTTTTTTATATAAAAAAAGCCAAATTGTATTGAAGAAAGCCAAAAGAGTCAGAGCTTTACACAGAATTAATCATTWAAAAAAAACTCTGGTCAACAGATGGGCTAAACCTAAATTGCAGCTGTTTTGTGTGCAGCTGGTGAAAAATGGTGGAGAGATGAAAATCAAAACCTGGTTGAAGATGCAGCACAGCTGAACTCYTCCACAACAACCGATCTGAAACCCCTCTGCTGTGAGGCTGAAGACACACAAGTATGTAGGAATTATGTTCTCATTCCRTTTATTTTAATAAAATGGGTCTTGAATCTTGTTGCATCACTAGATGGAGCTAAAGAACTGCTTGGTTTTATGTCAGTGCTGTGGATTTTTCCCAAAGACAGTTTCTGGGGCCTCAYGCATAAAGGATTGCGCAGCTTTCACACTAAAAGTTGACTTATGGACAAATTTAGAAAAGTGCTCCGCACCAAAAATATTCAGATGTATAAATCCAGGCGTACGCAGGTTCCTGAGCAYCTTTCCTTTATACATCCCAACGAACGTAGAACTGAGCGCACGTGAGACACCTCCCCTGACACGCCTCCATTTACAGTAAATATGTAAAATAGATGTAAATGTGTCCAGCGTGTGAGATTCTCCTCCAGTTGTCCTCTCTGTGGGATCAGAAATGATTTTTAGATGCAGTGAAATTATACATTAAACGGAGAATGAGTTAGAAAACTGTCTAAATACGTAGTGGAGTGTCATTGTTTTATGTGGTGCATTTGCATGGGATAACCAAAGCCTGAGATTTTCCTGAAATTTACAGACATCTCCCGAATGTGATGTTGAAGCCTGGTTAGTTGTCTATTTAGTTGAATACAGCGTTGAACGGACTTTTTAAAAAATATAAATAAAAATGAAATAATAAAAAAACAATAAACATTACATTATCCACTTTTTCTGCTCTCCTTTGCTCCTGCGTTACAGCAGGCACTGCCATCTCCATGCACAGACCCCCACCCCACCCCCCACGAGCGGGTACGAGTGGCAGCCTACAGATTTTTAGCAAAAAATATAGATTTTTGAGTCTCATTAGACAGGTAAACGTCCAAAGGGGTTGACAAATATGAACACCTTCCCAGCTGGCGAGGGTGTGCGTGCACCTGGCATGAGGATCTACCCAAAGCGCGGGCCTGCTGCGTTGTGGCCACAGCTCAACATTCAGCATCAGCCAGAAGGWTACACACAGAAAAAAATCATTATTATTACCGTACAGTGAGCCACCATTTGCATCCGATTTTGCTCCCTCTCTTCAGCCTTTTTTATTTTATTATTTTTTATGCCGTACGTAATGTGTCGGGTTTTTCCGGCCCGGGACCCAAAAGGTTTTCAATTATGTGACAAAAATATAAAAACAGTTTACAGACTGGACTGAGGTTATTTTCATCATTTTTAGGCTGATCTATTTCCTTGTCTGAGGTTAAACGATTTTCAGTCCCGGGGTTCAGTTTCATGATCGTTCGAGTTTAAACAATAAAAATCTAACAAAAAAAAAATCTGACACCGTGTTCACATGCTCCTTACATCCAGAAAACACAACAAAGTCATATTTCTGTGGATTCAGGTCAGATTCATGACTTTGTGATTTAAAACTGTCGGCTGAAAAACTTTGCATGGCTGCCGCACATTCTCACGGCAGGTGCGTATATTTACGCACACTTTCACGCAATGTTGGTTTTTATACATTCTAACGTTGGTGTAGAACCTGGCGCACGTAACTTTTTTGTGCGTATGCACCGTTTATACGAGGCTCCCAGAGTGCTGATCGCCTCCTGGTCTGGGGTCTTTCTAAGTGSCATTTACATGTTCTCCCTGTGCACATGTGTTCTCTCACAGACTAAAAACATGTGTGTTAGATTCACTGGTRWCTCTAAATTGTTCCTAGGTGAGAGTGTGAATGGTTGTGTGTCTCTCTGTGTCCCTGTGATGGACTTATGAGTCATCCAGTGTGTCTTCTGTCCTCTCAACGACTGCTGAAGATAGACACCAGCTCCACAATGATCCATTAAAGAAAATGGATGGATTATTATTTACAGATTAATTTACACCAYTGTCATCAAAATCAATCAAAATTTAATAAAAAAAATATTACTTTTTTGCACATCATCTGTCAGGTGTGTTAAAAGTCTTCACATTCATTACTCAGGTAGAAGTAGAGATACAAGCGTTTAAAAAGACTTCTGTAGAAGTTGAACTATCAACTCGAGCTTTGTACTCAAGTAAAACCTTAAAAGTACTGATTTTAAAACTACTTAATGTATAAAAGTAAAAGTAATGGAAGAAAAACAAACCAATAAAGACAAAAGTTTAGTTCCGGACCACATGGGCCTACCCACCTCCCAAGAAACATTTTTCTAAAAGCCCTAATGATTAATGTTATATTAAAATGTTAATGTTGAAAATTTTGCGATAGGTTACCTGTTACCACGCAACCCTGAAAAGGAAGAAGCGTGTACAGAAAATGGATGGATGGATGGATGGAGGTTACCTGTTACAGCCGCATATATCTCTGCCATGATAATCTTCATATGAGGTTATGTCCTGCTGGAGCGTGACGTGAGTTGTGTCATACAGGTGAGATGGATCATGTTTAAACCAGTAACAGTTCATATCATGGAGGAGTGATATATATGGATAGTTTTTTTTTTTTACTTTTAATGTAAACAAGCCAAAATATGGTACAATAGATAGGAATAACAAGGCTATTTTTAAAATGCAARGAGAAGAAATTACATATACTCATGTGAAAATGTAAAATATTAACAGAAACACAACAGTAAAGTATAAATCACTAAAATTTCTACATTAGTAAGGTGACAAAGTATTTGTTAAAGTACAAAGTATTTGTACTTTGTTACTTGACACCTTTATGATTGTGATTCTACTTTAGATGAAAATCAAAAAAAATTGCTCCTAATATTTTTGAAAAAGACAGTTTATGCTGTTTCTTGCTCGCTCAGAAGTTAAAGTTCTTCAAAGGCAGCTTCTCTCTGGTCTCTGATGCAGCATCTTATGCACAAYTAGAAGAAGTGTTTTTTATCTCCAGGATGGACACATGAGGAGGACCAAACTCCCACTGCCTCTAAGTCACTTTGCTGCTTTGCCTCACAGGGCCAAGKTGTCTCAGCATTCCATACCATATTGGGCAAAAGTGAGTCGCTCTCAGCTTGGTCTCAGCCTGGGATTTAGCAGGAATTACTCATTTTTTATCCAGTCTCACTTTTTATCTGATGATTCCCATTTATCTGTCTGCTCAAAGTGAAACAAAACACAACTTGTGAAAATGTTAGACACAAAACAAAGCCAGGAGTGTCCGACCGCAACTGTGATAAAACATGAAATAGAAAGTGCATCCCTATAAGCTGGTTCCAGGTCAGCAGCTCAGCTGTACCCACTCCAACCCCTCCTTCTGGAATCTGAGCCAGAGATCTGTTAGTAACATGAGAGCAGTTAGCAGGAGGACTATATCTGTCTGTGATGATCAGACAAAGCAGTGAGGTTTCATCAGACGCCTGTCACCACAGCCGAACTCTGCATGACTTCATATGATCTAAACAGAGTTTCTACTTATTCTACTGACAGAGAGAGACAGATAGAAAACACTTCTTTACTGACAGAGCAGAGACAGGTAGAAGACATATTTTACTGACAGAACTAAACAGATAGGTGGAGAGTGAGACAACTGCTTGCTTTGATATTTAACAAAAAATGCCTCTATAACTATAAGCTGCTACTCACCTGTTGGGCTGGTAACCTCTAAAAAGAAAGTCTAACCATTTTAAAATGAAGTTCGGTCAATTTATTGTCAATACTGACGACAGTCACAAAGAACAAAATGTGGACAATGAGGCAAACGTATTTGTCTTGGCTGGGCCAAACAAGAGCCTGATTTATTATTTTTCATAGTAATGAGACAACTTTTTATTTAAAAAAAACTACACTACGCTACATGAAAAATGCTACATATGCTGATATTGAACTTTTAAACTGGTGGATGACACCACTGTTGAGTTTGTTGCTGTGACCCAAATGAACAGCATCCAAGTTCTGCAGTTTTTACTGTTTGTCCAAGTCTGCCTCATGCTTCTGTCTCCCTCTTGTGCTTGTGTTGTGTGTTTTCACTCTCCACCTTTTTCCTCAGTCAGTTTTGTGTTCTTCATCACACCTGTCTGTACTCAGTAATCACTCAGCTGCTTTCCATTTTCTGCCTTGTCTTATTTAACCAGTCTCTTTCCTATACTTACATGCTGGATCCTTGTTCCTTTCTTGCCCTCRTGTTCTTCCATTTGTTTTTTGTTGCGTCACCAGCCTTTATTTTGTATTTAATAAATCCTTTAATTATTGTTTGTGTCCTTGAGATGCCTGCTGGGTCCAAAAGCTCCATGCTTCCTGCACTGTTAAGCCATTTTATTTAATAAAAAGAAAATAGTTAGCTGTTTGTATCTAGAATACTTTTATGTTTTGTTAGACATTAGAAGACTTTTCAAAGAGCACAATATTAATACAGGGAAATGAAAGTCTTGAAGAGTTTCTTATTTTTCAAGCATCAGTGCACAAGAGGTTTACTGCTCCCAATTTTGGTAATAACCTCTGATACAAATTATTTTGAACTGCCCACACTGTCCCTCTCATGTTACGGCTTCAGGATCTGCAGCTTGCAAGCTTTCAAAAAAATAAAAAAGGAAGTAAAAAATCTCTTCCCATTCCATTTATGCACACATATTTATTGCAAGATATATTTTTTTAAGAACAAGCAATAGATCACTATTTGAGTAAAGTTTGAAAAGTTGGATAAATTCTGACTTTATACCTTTTTAACGTTAGATATTTGATATTTACTTCAACTATAAAACAAAGACTGTAAAAATACTGTGTATATATTTGTTGTCACACAGTTGATGCCACTTTATTAATGCTGCAAAGCTTACTGGGTAAACAATGACATTCACTAGGTTTTCTGGTGCAAATTCTCATCCCTGAAGGCTGATCTTGGACAACATCTGACAATCATCTGTTTTAAATGAAACAGAGAATGCTGATAGAGAGGATAATGTAGAAATGACTCAGCCTGCAACTGAAAATGTAGATGGAGGACAACAGAGCTGATTCATGGTAGAACCACAACTTAGCCTGTTAGCTTACACATTAGTGCCCGAGGTAATATACTGTATACAGCAGGGATCTGCAACCTGCAGCTCTGGGGCCACATGTGG